TGGGGTTCCGTCAAGTACGACTCCACCACGGACCCGGCAAACAAGCTTTTCCTCAACGTCGACACTGGCCTCGCACGTGCGGACGTCTTGGGCCGCGCTATGGTGATCTATGACGCGACTGGTGCCCCCATTGCCTGCGGCATCATCGAGGACAGAGAGCTATGGTAATGCAATCTAACGCATACATGCGGAAAGTGATGCATGTTTTAGCACAGTTTCAGAAGCCACAAACAAAGAAAGGTCCGGGAAATATGGCATACATGCTTATACGCAGATCGGAACGCACATTGGCCAGGTTAGTTTACAGTTGTATATGCGGCAAGTGTAGAAGTTGCCAGGCGCAGCGGTGGCACTCTTGAGTCCAAGAGCTTGTCTTGATGCCACTGCAGTGCACTGTTACAGGGTGGGCCCCCTAGTTGCATGATTACATAGTCCCCGTTAAGTAGATAGAACATGGGGCATATGGGGATCTCATGGAAGCCATATTCTATCTACTTCAAGGGGACTATACTATTTCACTACGCAATTCCAGATTTGTGACCGGACTTAGCCCTATGAGAAGAGACCTGCAGCTAAGTTTCAGCTAAGGAATCGATTCCCGTAGAGCTGAGACCGCCATGTTACTTCCCAGAGCCCCAATTGCCAAAAGTAGGTGAAACAATAGCCCAAAAAGATTATCATATAGCCTTAAAGGCCATCATTCTACGCACTTTTGGGGTTCAGGTACCCTAAACCTCTCCCAATATGAAAAGTCCAGGACCCTCCTTGTACCCTTAATTGGGGATATGTGGTCCTGAATAGTAGGTACTTAGGCCCTAATAGAGGGTAAGGGGAGGGTCTAGGATAATACCTACATTAAATATATAATTTCAGACCTACTTTGCGCTATTTGGATCATTAGGGCGAACTGAGAGGAATGCGACTATACCCTAAAGTGAGATTTTGTTGCCTTATATTAACCCCAAGGGTGTAAAGACCCAAATAACAAGGTTTTAGGGCCCAGAGACCATTAACATCATAGTGTTTGGGCCTTAAAACCCAAATTATTTGGGGTCCTTGGATCCCAAACCCTAAACCCTATTATTGGGGTCCTTGGACCCCCAGGGTAAGATTTAGGGTCTGTGTCTTGACGCCCATAGGGTCTGAAGTGTATACAGAACGGCATGGTTTAGGTTTCAAGGATTTGGGGTTTAATGTTTCAGGATTTTGGGTTTACGATAGGATTTAGGGTTTTAAGGATCTGGGGTTTAGGGTTGAAAGGTGCATGGCTTGGGTTTATTGAAGGGCTTAGGTTCCAAAGTCCAAGTAGCACTTAAGCAACTCAATCGATTACGCCCAAAGCTCGAACCCTGCGCCCCCCATATCCTGCCTTAACTCTTAAACCAAAAGGAGTCTTCGACAACCGTCTTCGAGGACTACCCAGGTTATTCGGGCGACTTGCCAGACACCTCTGGCGGTGTCAAGGCGACAGCTTATGGGAGTATTTTGGTAGCCCAAGCCCCAATACTGTACTTGTAGCCTCCTACCAATTATTTTGCATTTCTCATGTAGTATGTCCCTCAGAAATTTTATTGCGGGCCTCTAGGAGATTTACAGCATTCAGGACCAGAGTCGTATGATAGTCATACGGTGGATGCAGGAAATCTTGCATCACGTCGTTCCCAAAAGTACTGTAATTCCCATTCTTGGGGCTTTATAAAGGGTTGGTGTAAGTTGTCCTCCATCCACACTAGAGTCCTTTTTTTGGGGCTAGGCCGTACACCGTAAACCCTAAGCCCTAAACCCTAACCCTAAACCGTAATACTTTTGCAAAATCCCAGCAAATAGCATCACACTTGAAGCGAGATGGTCCGGAATTCGATGTATTTAGGGCCTGGTGGGTTTAGGGTTTAGGGGTTTAGGGTTCAGGCTTTAGGGTTTATTGCTTGGGAGATTTTTATTCTACCCCCCAACAACGGAAACCCAGAAAGCCCAACATCCCTTAGGTAGGGAATATACCCCCCAAAGATACTAGGATCCCTGATGCGATTGCGGAATATTCCCTATTTTGGTGGATTTGGGTTTTCGGGGTCAGCCCCTTTAGAAGGACAGTCGTCTTTTCGGGCGTGGATTCTAATTTAACTTGCCCGGTCTGTTTTTTGGTGTTGTCAGGCTTGGGCGGTTTCCTTGGTTCATATAGCGTGAATGTGCCTGAACCCCAAAAGTAGTTTAAGTAATAGCCCAAACCACCAAAATATAGCCCTAAAGGCCATTATTCTACAAACCTTTGGGGTCCAGGCAAGGATTCAGCAAAAAGAGTTTGCCATGCTCATTTCGGATTTGCCTCTGACCTTTGGTGCTTGGATGATCCGTGGACTTAGTAAGTCTACCTACGATCCTAATGGACGATCATTAGAAGCTCTATAGCTCCAGTTACTGGAGCAAGTAGATTTACCCTGTCAAGAGATCCGCCATGGGATGCAAGCGAGGTCAGATAAGGATACTTGAAAGTTGTCAGCCTTGGTAATGGCATTTGCCAATCGTCACCATTCATAACATGTCATGCACCCCTGTGAGGGTCCAAGTATTAAGTACCCAAATAGTCAGGTTTGAAGTGCCCTAAAGCCTGATTATTGGGGTAATTGGACCCACAGGGGCAGGGAATCAACTGATGCATGGCAGGTGGTGTCCGACGATGGCGAAGGCACCCAGACGCTCAGCTGGATCTTCACTCAGGGCGTCGACCCGCGGTGCACCTCAGCCGGTCCGGCGGCCAACAGCTGCAGTGTCCAGATCTTTGATGGCACGAGCCCCGATGCACCCGGCAACCCTTACTGGAACCAGGGCGACATCCCCCAGAACCCTTGGCCGGAGGTGCGCTACGTGATCCAAGCTTTCCTCCCAACAGTGGTGAATGACATCGAGGTGACGACCGGACTTACCTCCGCGGACCTCGATGGTCGTGTTGTGGTGGTCTACGACTACGACGGCGTCCCCGTCGGCATCGCCATCATCCAGCTGCCAGAGGGCGCCCCTGAGCCGGTGGAGGGTGATGACCTGTACGTCTTCGACTTCAGCCCGTACCCCGGCTCCTCGTCGCCCTACCAGCCGACCGGGGTGGTGGAAGTGAAGTCAGCAGACAATGGTGAGACCCTGCTCTCGTGGAGCCTCACCGGCCTTGATCCCAGCTGCAGCAGCGATTGTGCCGCGACCAATTGCTGTGGAGTCACAATCAATGAAGGCAGAATGCTGCTGACAGTCTTAGAATCTAAGCTAAGGTCACTGACATAGTGGGATTTACAGGGGATTCCTTTATCGGTTTATCGTTCTGTTTTCTTGCAGGCATGAGCTGCAGCGACGCCGGAGCAACCTATTGGGCCGGAGATGACGGGAATCCTTGGGGTTCCGTCAAGTACGACTCCAGCACGGACCCGGCGAACGTGCTTTTCCTCAGCGTCGACACTGGCCTCGCACGTGCGGACGTCTTGGGCCGCGCTATGGTGATCTATGACGCGACTGGTGCCCCCATTGCCTGCGGTATCATCGAGGACAGAGAGCTATGGCAATGCAATCTAGCGCATGTGGGAAGCGGCGCATGCTCTAGCACAGTCTCAGACGTCAAAAACAAAAGTGCATAGTTGTACTTAGTCAGTCCTAGTTATCACTACCAAGTTTTGGGTCCATGACCGTATTCATCCCCATGAGTAGCCACTTAAAACCTATACTTCAGCTACTATTATCTCCTGGCAAGCCTTCTCCGTTTTCATCCGTATAAAATGAAAGAATGATTTTTTTAAAAAAACAACAACTTCGTTGTAGGTTTAGGGGCATTACTAACCCTAAGAGTCCAAGGACCCCAATGATATCAAATACAGGGTTCTAGGGCCCAAATACCAATGACATCATAGTATTTGAGCCCTAAAACCCTAACCCTATAAACCCTAAACCCTGGAACCCTGAAAAGCCCACCCTAAACCCTAAACCTAAGCCAAGAGCTTTTGAAGCCTACTCTAGGGAGTTAGGATGATCCTTCAGAAACGGTTTAGGGTTTGGGGTTTACTTGGAGGGTCTCAGTGAGTGGGTGCGCTGGTGTTCAGGCGCGCACCCCAACCTGCATGAGCCCACCCCCGCTGGCGCTCCACCCTTGCCTTGACCTTCGCGGGTTTAGGGTTCTCTCGAACGCTGACCGCGCTCCTGTCTCCTTTTGTTTTTTCCACCCGTCTATTTGCAAATTGGGCCTTGCCCGGAGGCTTTCAAGCCTTGAACAGTTGGATGTGTCCAAACTGTGCGGGTGCAAGGTTTGCGTTTGGGTCCGGCTCGGGGCCTTTAGTTTTCTGCAGACGGGGGGGGGGTCTAGTTTGGATTTGGGCCTGCCTCGAGGCCTGCAGACCTGCGGGTACAAGGTTTGGGTTTGGGTCTGGCGAGAGGCCTCTAGTTCTTTTCAGCCACCTTAACAAACGAAATAGGCTTGTGGGATGATAGCCATTCATTGAGCTCTGAGTAGTTTCGGAGACACAATCAGCTCACAAAGGAAATATTTGAGAGATGCCCTGGGGGGCTGCGTGGGCCCTAGAAAGGTCTCAGCCGTAGGGTTTTGGACGGGAGGCCTTGGGAGGCCCTAAAGGCTTTGGGAGGCTAGAGACCTTGAATCCTTGGGCAGGGGGCCCCTGGAGGGGCTTCAGCGGGTTCAGGGGGGCTCAGCGCGTTCGCCCTGCTTGACGGCCCCGGCTCACTCAGTTTAGGGTATGGGGTTTACTTGGAGGGTCAGAGGGGCTTAGTACGCAGTTTATGAAAGGGGATAACTAGGACTAGGATTACTATACGGGTTATAGGGGTTATTAACCTACTTAAATACCTACATTGCAAGTGCCGCGGTTTGAAGTGTAAACAGAACCTCATGGTTCAGAGTTTAAGGAACTGGGGTTCAGTTTGAAAGGGGATGAAAGGGGTATGGCTTGGGTTTATTGAAGGGGTTAGGTTCCGGAGCCCATGTAGCTTAACCCTGACGGCACTTACGCCTCAACCTTACGTCCCCATATCTTACCCCAACCCTACGCCAACAGGAGTCTACGACAACCGTCTTCGAGGACTACCCAGGTTACTCGGGTGACTTGCCAGACACCTCTGGCGGCGTGAAGGCGACAGCCTATGGGAGGATTTTGTTAGCCTAATACTTGTAGCCTCATACCATTAATTTTGCATTTCTCATGTAATATGTCCCTCAAGAAATTTATTACGGGCTTAGGAGCTTCACAGCATTCAGGACCAGAGTCATATGATAGTCGTACATCCAAATAGGCCAATGTAGGTTATATGTGTAGACCTCAGCGCCCAACGTAGGTATTAGTATTTGGATACCCGGAGTTGAAGGGTAGGGTATAACAAAAATCGAGAGCACACTTTAAATCTATTGCTAGACATCCTCCATCCACAGTGTGGGTCGGAAGCCAACTTCTTATAAAGTGTGGCTCACTTGGCGGGGTACTGGAGCGCTTCAGCTCTCATGTGAACTTACCCCGCGGGCCCAGGTCCCAAATCCAAAGCGAGGGGGGGGGGGGTGCAGTGATCTGAAACACCTGATGTAAGCAGTTACTGTGCATACCTGAACAAACCAGAACACCCAGGGTATGAGGCCCCTTCAGGGTAATGCAAGTTTTTTTTGGTGGCAACAGCAAGATAGGGTTAGTGCTGGTATAAGGCTGCGGGGCTCCGGGTTTAGGGAGTAGGGCTTGTTTGCTGGCACATCAGGAATCCTCAAATGTAGGCTGCTTGCAGAGCATTATTGCGATGCGACCCCGCAGATGAGGGGTCTCCTGGTTTCGCATATGAGGTATTGCCTAAATTCCTAGTATCCTCCTTAATAGGCCTTCTAGTAGTCCCTTATACAATCCCCCATATAACCCCCCTTTAAGGAGTCTAGACTACAGCTCATATATTCAATCACGCTAGTGTAGGAAAAACCTGAACCAGAGAAGCTGCAGGCAGGTGCCCTCTAGTTATAAGTTCTAAGCAGTGGAGAGAAGTATGGTTATAAGTTCCCAACATAGTATATATAACCCTTATATAATCCCTATACCCTAAACCCTAAAACCTAAACCCTTATATAACCCCTATATGCCTTCCTATATAACCCGTATAGGTCTCGGAGTTATATAGGGGCACCCGCCTGTAGTTTCGGCAAGGGACCTTTCGTTGTTCAGAGTTCCACATCTGACCCAGACCTGCTGATATGAGCTATAGTCTAAACTCCTTAAAGGGAGTTATAGAGGGGAGTATATGGGGGACTATTATAGAGGTTATTAAGGGGATACCAAGAGTTTAGACAATTGCTCATATATACCAGGACCCTCCTTGTACCCTCAATTGGGGGTATATGGTCCCTAATAGTGGTATTTAGGCTCTAATAGAGGATAGGAGGAAGGTCTAGGTAGACTTTGTATGTTTTTGTTGGCGGCGGCTTAGTGTTTAGGGCCAAATGAGCAGCAAGAACTCGGGTATCTGCAGCAAGGAAAATGTTGGGTCCAGGCTTTGAGAATCTTTGTCTTGGTCTGCATAGGCCTTCATAGGGATGGAATAATTGCATGGTACATGTGGGGATTTCCCAAAATTAGGGGTACATTTTTAGGGGTCCCTATAATAAGGACTATACTATTTTGGGGTCTGTATTCGGGTCCCCCTATTTTGGGAAACTACCATGTAGGAGCCTCAACGGCAAACATGAAGCAGGCATACCGTACTGGCATACCCTGATCGTGATACACGGCAAGTGGAGAGTCCCTCGATAGGAAATTTTAGTCCAGCATAGCAGCCGGCTCCATCCTCAGAATGCGCAAGTTGACATGCATTGTTGACAGCAGGTCGAGTCAGACGATGAGACGCAGACGCTCAGCTGGCTCTTCACAGAGGGCGTGGACCCTCGGTGCAGTGATCCTTGCACGGCCAACAACTGCT